TACCTACCACAAAATCTTTAAACCTGTGTTAAGTTTTGCAATTCTAAATTAAGGTTTTTAATTCAGTACAGAAATAGTTTAATTTATATCAGTTCTGAGTCACCCCAACTTCCAACTCGTTATCTCCCCTACTTTGTGCAGTAAGCCTTGCAAATCAGGCTCAGATCAGGCTCCCTCTGCCACATCCCTCCAGCTCGGTTCCAGTCCTCTGTTCCCTAGGCAATTGAGCAGGAACTCAGCTGGAGTATGGTTCCAAGGGCTGCATCTGTCTACATGAAGGCAGTGTTACCTTCATCCGCTGCTTAGCAAAGGCTGCACTCTTCGGTGCCAATACCCCCATCCAGTGACCTGTCATGTTCTGTGCATTCCACTGGGTCTCCATTTTGCACATTTTCCAGCATTTGGACTCCATATCTCTGTGCAGTCCGTGAGTTCTGGATGGCTTGAATAGCTACAAGCAGAGGCCCTGCTGTTTTGAAGATCAGTAGCCTTAATTTTAGTTGAGGTGAGCCATGTGTTTCATGAGGTGCTTGTTGACAATTGAGACAAGAAGTAGTAGTATGCTGTTGTCTTCTACTCCATTAGGTCAAGTGGCATAAGTTGAAGATCTACTAGATTTAAGCATATTAAAAAACATTGAAATACTAATGTGATTTATTTTAGGGCTGGAAAAAGATAGAAACTGATTTACAAATATTCTTGTGGCTATGGTTTTAAGACCACAGTTCTTGTTAGTGAGCCCCAGCATATTATTTGGCTACTTGAGCCAAGTGGCTTTCCTGCCCACTTTCGAACAAGGATGTAGTTTGCAGAACCCTGTCTTCCAGAGGATAGAGCAAGTGTCATGTGTAACATGATGAAAAGGTTTTTCTTGAATTATTTAAAGCATAGCTTAAACAGGTTTTACAGTAGCAAAACAATTTATAGTAAGTGAAGCTTTCTCCAGTACTTACATCTTCCCTGTGTTACTACAAAGTCTGGTGTTCCCTATTTCTTTTCAGAGATACTCATTTTGCCTTGGCCTGTTTTGTAAAGCAGCTCTAAACTTAATAGTTTTAGTAAGATTGTTTTTGTAATGTTCCAGTTGGTTTCATAAAGATACCTTACCTCTAGTCATTGTTTTCTCTCCTGCTTTTCCTCTCCAGTGTGTTTTATATTTTGCTGCATCTAGGTAATCAAGAAAAGTATGTTTTGTAGTATTTGTAGTATCAGTAGCATTAAGAGTAGTCATATATTAATTTTGGATATAAAAGTGCCTCATTAAGGCTTTCTGTGCAGCTCCTTATGTATTTGCTTCATGAGACAGTTTTTGCAAATTAAGTTCATTCTCAATCCACCACATGCTGTTAATATTTTGGTTTGTTTTTTGTTTTAAATAGCCTTTTAGATCTTCTGATACATACTGTCTTTTTGAATAAGAATGGATGATGAATGTTACCGCTAAAATATTACCACTGTATAATAAGTCAATTTTGTCTTAGTCTAGACTATTAATGACTCATGACATGATTTAGGCAAAAAAGCTTGGATGTGAGCTGATTGTCATCTAAGAAACTGCTGATGGTAATTACAAGAGTGACTTGGTTGATCACCAGAAGTCTGCAAGGGAAAAAAGCCCATGTTGCTTATGCTTCCAGAAATAGCTTAATTTTGATGAACAGGAGCCTCATCTGAAGTTCTTGAATTATTGATAAAATATGGTATGTGTCTTCTAGCTGAAATACAATAAATAGTTCTCACAAAATGAAATTAGCATATGTTTATATCCCATATGCTAATGAGTTGGATTTCGCAGTGGTTTTGAGGCAATTGTAATTGGTAACTAATAGCTGCCCTGTTCCAGATGCAGTGTAAGCAATTCAGAAACAGTGTCACACGTAGGGACATACAAGTTGTCCATGGTGCATCTCCAGGAGCAGCAGTGAACTTTGAGGCATCAGGCACTATAGTTGAATCTGGCTTTCTTGCTTTGAAATAACTCATTTGGGTTTATCCCGTGTCCTTTTTCTGATACAATTAAACCATGTCTGATTGTATGCTACATACTATTAATATGCTTATGAATTTAGCAACCCAAGGGAAGTTATTAAGCTTTTCTTCTGTTTTGATGGCTTGCTAATGAAAGAGAGAAGGTTAAAGACACGACAAAGGGATACACTATCAGCTAGCTCCCAGTTAAACATCCTGAAGTATGGGTAGCACTACTGCAGTAGTCAGGAGGCTGCAAACTCATGTCACACTGAACATGCTCAGTGAACGGCTGAAGTCTGGTTCAGAAGAAGGTTTAAGAGTTAGTGCATGTCTAGACCTCAGAGGACAGTTTAGCCTCCTACATTTTGTGATAGAATATGCACATGGTCCAAAAAGAGCAATAATTTAAACATTTGACACAGCTGGAGGCTGTGGGTGTCTTTTGGTCGTTAGTCGTCTGGAGGAAGGAATTTGGTACTTGTTCATCTTCAAGTGGCTTGGACTGTCTTGTCAGGTTAAGAGTAACGGTTCACGCTGTTGCAAAAAGCAGTGGGCCTACTTCATATGCTGGGCTTAGTATTCACAGCCACATAGCAAGCTTCAGGGGGGAAAAAAAAGGTTTGGTTTGATTCCTTGATCATTTCAGTGGAATAAAGTCAAAGAAGTAAGAGGAACAAGTAAAGGGATTTGGTTTTTTGACAGCAAAAGGGCTTTGCTTCTGACGAAAGTGACTGCTTACTGTTTAAAAGCAAACTGTAAAAGCAAAATACAAACTGTATTTTTCCACTTCTTGCAACACCCTTCTGATGTTGGAACACATTAAGCTACTTCTTCCAGAATAACATATATATGCTCAAAATAGTCATTTCCCATCAGATGCCTTTATACATCTTGACTTAATTTCTAACAGTGTATGTAGAATTAGGAGCATGTAAATGCTCTCCTTCAGCTTACTAACAAACGTTAGTATCAGTATGCTCTGATCACACCTGCCCAACAGTGATGCCACCACACATACTTCAAGCTCATAACCCATAATTGGGATTCTTTTTTCTTTTTTTAAGAGTAAATTTTTTTTTCTGAAATTTGACAGAAAACTTTGCTCTCAGACAAATACCAACCCAGTGCAGAGGTGCTTACAGCACCCAGACTGGCACACAGGTCAAAGAAAATACTGAACTTACTCCATGAGTTCAGGTTTCTCTTAGCTACTCTATTACCTGTTCTTGATAAAAAACAAAATGCCAAGTTAAAATTGAAGAGCTGCTTAGACAAAATTATCATTGCTTACCCTGCATGTTTTAATATTAATTTGTTATTTCTTTCTAGGAAGGAACAAAGTGTGAAGTTCCCTGAAGACTTTGCAGTTAACCTTCCTAATCTCCTCAAATTTATTTTACATCACTCAAGTCTGTCTTCATCAGAGCCCTGTACCAAAGAATGCCTACAGAAAGAGGCAGTTCTACAGCAAGGACACATCTCCCACTTAGAGAGAGAAATTCAGCAATTAAGATCAGAAATCAGTGCCCTTCATCAGGCCCATGACCAGCTTGAAGCACAGCTATCTGAAGCTAGAAGAGAAGAACATAGACTACAGCAGCAAAAACACACACTGGAAAAGCAGCACAAGACTCTGCAGCTCCACAGTGAGCAGTTACAGGCCACATACGACCAGAAGAATCAAGAATTATTAGAAATGGCCGAAAAGCTTCAAGAATTAGCTGAGGCATCAGAAAACCTCCTTAAAGAGAATACTTTACTGAGAATCCTGGTGGCATCAAGGGATGGAAAGCTACAGAGCAAAGATGAAACGAAACAATCCCTTCAGTCAGAGCAAACACTTTCTGAAGATAATGATGTATCAGTTTCAACAGCTATTACCACATTAGATGAAAAAAGGATTGATAGTATTGATACCATAGAGACAGAGCACAGTAGTGGAAACAGGACAGAATGATTGCTTACACAAAATCAAATGATACAGTATTGGGTAGGTATTTATGCAAATTTTATTGAAATTCATTGTAAATAAAGACTTCTTCCCCCATGTGATCTAGAAAAAGAAAAATCAAATGGAATATTTTTTGTATACTTGAACAACTTATGAGATATCCATGTCTAAAGAGAAGAGGAAAATGGAAAACACTTTCTGCACTTTACTATTGCACTAACTTGCAAACACCTATCCATTTAAATTAAAGATGCTGATTTTTAGGGGCAGCGGCGTGAAGCACCTCTGACTAAGGACCAGTTATTTTTCACTGGCTTTTTCTTACAGCTGCTAGAAGAGAAATTAGACCTTTGATTTATACTTTTCCATAATTTCTGAAGTTTGCCCTGCAGTTTACACTGCATTCTCTTTGCTGAATTAAATAGAAATATTTCATTTGTGTAATCAGTAAACTTGAATGGACAAAGTCATCTTGCTACAACTGTTCTGTTCTAGAACTTCAGCACTTTGTATCACTTTTGTATACCAGTTCTCTGTCTTGAAACCTGCAAGAGCCATGTGTGAACTGTTCTCTACTGAAAACTGAAGTCTTACTGAATTAATTCCTCTCTCCTTGATTTGTAAGAGATCTAGAATACAGCAGTTTAAGCGTATGGGTCTGGCTATACATGCAAGTCTCTTGAGACTACTATCTTTAAAAAAGTCCATGCCAGGGTAAGAACAGCCCTTTATCAGCTGTACCCCAGTATTGGATTCGAGAGGCAACAGCAGGACAGGAGCTTTTTGGTACTGACAGCATTAATTTTGCTTCAAAGTATAGCCTTCAATTAAAAAAAAAAAAAAAAAAAAAAAAAAAAAAAAAAAAAAAAAAAGGCAATTGTAGCACTAAAAATGAAAGTCAAACTCTTACTGTAGAAGAAAGGGACAATGCTTTACTGACTGGGCCATTATTGTCCTGCATATAGTTACAATTCTCAAGCAAGCTTCCTAGGCCTATGTTACTTAGTTATTCCATACATACAGGTACAAGAAGCAAATCTAATGCTTCCTACAGAGCTGAAGAACTTGGACTTCAGGGAACAGTTTTACAGTAGCTTTATTTCTCCTAGGCAATTGAGTGTTTAAAAATTTCAGTAGGTACAGGAAGCTATGTATGAAGTCATAGAAAACAGGTGAGTGGCCTCAGAGCTTGTGTGCCTACCTAAAGAGTTTTAGAATATGTAAGCTGCTATCAGTGGCTCAGTGTTGTTCCTTTTCCTCCCCTTCTGCTCCCCAAACCTTTGAGGTCCAGAACTCTTCCTTTAATACATTTTTTTACAGTTCTTACAGCTGAACTATAGCAGAGCGCAAGAAATGGAAGGGATGTCCCTATTTGAAAAAGGACTTCACCATTGCTAGCTAAAAGCTTTTACAAACTGACCAGCAATCTCCCTTCCCCATATCAACATTTGTTTTTGTAGGAAAGACTGAAACTAATCTTGTAGTAGTACAGTTCAAGAGAGTTATCTACAAGATGCATTAACTGAATTCTAAATTTGACCATTTGTCTGTAGACTAAAAATGCCTTTTTACAACAGGCTGTTAACATACACCCTAACTGCTAAGTACACAAACAAGGGTTCTAGGAAAAGTTCATACTAGTTGCACTTACGCAAATTTTAATAAGTAACCACTTCTCCAGTTTCAGCATGCAGACCTACAGAAGAGAAAAGCCTGCTCTACTGCCATTTCAAACTCCTGGAAACCTTCTGGACCATCCCTGAGGATTCAGTGTCCATCATTAGTTCCCAGGTTGGAACTCATCAAAATGGCAGTTTCCCTGCAGTAGCTACATAGTTAGAGAATTCAGTTCTAGCAGTCAAAAGCTTAACCTACATAGCTGCAACTAAAGGAAATCCTTTCTTATAGCTCCTGTGCTTCCTCCCTCAACATGTTACTGAAGGCTTATACCCTCTTCTCAAAGAAAGTATCCTGCATCGGTCCAATAAACTGTTGAGAGTAGGAGTTCTGACTTTATGGCTGTGCACTCAAGTTAGTAGCAGAGGCAAGCTTTAACCGCAGATTTGGTTTTGAAGGTCTGGAATCCCATCTACAGTCGTGGTTCAGGAGTCCCCTTGTCTGTTATGTACAATTGCATCGTATTATTCCCATATGCTATGGAACACAAAGCAAAAAGCTTCTAGCAGCCTATTTACAGTTCACAGTTGTAAAGTAGTTCACATTACAGTAGTAGCTCCATCAAAATAGGCTCAGCTAGACATTCAAGTAACAGAAAATGTTAGTAGTCTCTTCACACCAATATATCCCTGTGTCCATTGCCGGCAATGGACATTACACCAGGTGACTTAGCTCCTGTCATAGAGGAATTAGGATACACAGTTGATGCAAAGTGCAACTTCTCAGTGCATGCAGTTGCAAACAAAGCTTATTCAATCCTCATCGGGGTGTTTTCTGATGAGTAGCGTGCATGTGACCAGGTTCTTCACAGTATAGAGATTCTTCTGCTGGTTACACACCTCATAAGCATAGTCCATATACATGTGTTGCTCCAAGTTAGCTATGTACTTCTGTGCCATTTGGAGTTAGCTTAGCTTTCCTTTCTACACAGGGTCCTTTAGCAGAGTACTGCACCAGAAGGAAGGGCTCTTTAGTTTCTCCTTCGCCCACGATGCTTTCCTCATCTTCAGACTGGCTGATCCTCTGCAGACGCAGGTAACACCAGCAGCCCAGTATCAAGGCACCAAGAGCCGCGATAGCAATCAAAATAACAATAACAGTCACCACTCCCGTGGTGGGGCTGTGATCCATAATAGACATGGTCAGTATTTCAGATTGTGAGACTTCTTTAAGGAGATTCTTCTGTCCTCACTATCAGGCTTGCTGCATTCTCAAACTCCTGCAGTGGAAAAAAATAAAACACTTAATGAAGTTGAACGGTTTTACCATATTCAGCAACATTATATTCATGGTTGGGATTCTTCACAATGGCACATGAGCCTCTTGCATTTGGTGCTTTAGGCTTCTCCCACTCCTACAGTTCCTGCTCATTTTAAGCTATTTCTTCAACAACCTGGCTTTGATGATGCAGGTTTCTACATCAAACTAAAGCAAATGAAAGCTAAATTTAACTCTTGACATGCTTGTCAGGATAGCACATTGTCAGCCTGTTACGAGGTAACAATTTTTCCTAGGAGCAGGAGACAAGACAGACATGGTAAACTATATGAAGTTACACAGGTTCGTATATAGAGATTTAAAACTGTTCAATACAAATGCTAAATCATGGGTGAGCTCTCAATTGCCATAAGGTGGCAATTCAGCTACCTTTAGTTTTCCTAAACAGTACATTTGAGAGTCAGAAGTCTGGTCATTTAAAAAATTTAATTTACAAACATCTTTCTTGGATGCAAAGGTACTTGCAAGGCTAATACATTGCTATAAGCCTGACAGAAACACTGGTCTGTTTATAAGAGCTGACTGCACAGTAATTAATTGGTTGTTCATTGAGCTGATAGAAACTAACAGATGTTGCTTTATATGCATTTTTTTTTTTTTTTAGGGGCAGGTAGAACTGGAGTTACTGAAGACTAACAAAACACAAGGGGAAGATGGTTATTTTAAGCTTTTGCTCCTCTTAGTTGCTTTCAAATGACAAGAGCAAGGTGGTGTGTTAGGGCTGCAGCTGAAATTGGAAGGGAGGCAAAGCTTCAAGACTTCCTCAGGCTGCTGCAGAATTTGGGCAGGACAAAGATGCACAGGGAATGTTGTCTTTTGCTACTTCCACTTCTAAATTCACACCACTGTTTCAGCGATCATGTGAGCCTTGTCTTAAATTTCAAAGTTATTGTTTACAAAGTTGGTAGCTCCACTTCAGCTGGGACATAAGACAACATAAGACATCTGTTACCTTTTCTTCCTTACTACCCTAGCTCTTTTAACTAGACAAACTCATGGAAGGCTTTCGTTGAGACCAGAGCCAGTCCTACCCAGGAACATACCTACAGCAGTACAGAGGTGAGGTATCTGGGCTCAGTACTACAGTTTCAGGTACAAGCTCATGGTTCTAGGGTCGGCTGCAAGTGCAGAACAATGTCTGCATTTCACCTGACATGTAGCCACTGGCAATGGAATAACTGGAGTATCTCCTGGCTGGTACAAGCTCATGGTTCTAAGGTCGGCTGCAAGTGCAGAACAATGTCTGCATTTCACCTGACATGTAGCCACTGGCAATGGAATAACTGGAGTATCTCCTGGCTGCCATAAGTGCCAGTCTACAGAGGGCCATATACTTTCCAGGAAAGGCTCTTCCTTGTTGCTGTCTCTCAGCTGCAACAGCAGCATCTCCATACAAACCCCCCAGAAGTCAGCCTTAACCAGCCCTGAGCCAGAACTGTTAGGTTATTGTGATTGTTACACACTGCCCTTGAATGCTCACCAGCATTCCAACATGAGAGAGTCGGGGCAATTACTGTGCAGTATCTTTACTAACAGAACTCCAGTTAGAGACTAAGTTTATTCCCTAACATACCATGGAACGGCAGACCCATGCCCACTGCCACACAGCCATTTCAGCAAGGACTCATCCACTAAAGAGAAGATCAGCACAAGTGTCATTAGGCTCCAGTGTCACACAACTAACTCTCACGCACTCTGGCTACATTTTCAGCCCTGTAAGTGACAGCCAATAGCTTGTGTGTACCTGATACAACCAACCAGATCCTACAGACCCAATTTTGCCCAAGAAAGAAAACAGTAAAACTAACTACACCCCACCCCCTCAGCCAGAGAGGTGTATTTTTGTCTTGATCATCTTGGTTCTGCAATGCTTACTCAACACAGGGTGATCAGCTGAGGGTGATTAAGAGTGACTTTCATGTAGCTCGTTTTCCGCAGGGCATGTCTGAACTGCAGCACTGTTTGATCTAACCACAACACTACAGCATCAGCAGAAGAGACGGTTTACCTTCCTTCTCATGCCAGCACTGCATGCCCACGTTAAGCGTCTTCTGCAGCTTGCACAATTGCTAGCAGCAATGACCACCTACTAGCTCTGTTTCTCTACAGCAGTTTGGTGCAGCACATAACTTTACACGAGAATAAACAGTTACTGTCACCTAGAAAATAGATTTTAATCCTGGAAACTAGCATTGCAAATGCTACCTCTCTGCCAGACTTCAAGTGAGCAGACAGCATCAGCTGTACAAGGTATGAATCTTTGGACATCACCATCCCCTGTATGACCAGGATGTTTTGGCAAGCTGTTTTTAGACCTCAGCATAATAGCTAGCAAGGCGCAGACATTTGCTAGCAGTCTTAAGAAACAAGTTTGAAAGCAAGAGTTAGGTGTTAGGGTAACAAAGGACCTACATCTATCTGGACTGAAAGAGAATGTATTTCTCCCTCCCCCTTTTTAGCAGCTGCAGACTGCAATGGTCTCAGTTTGACCTGGGAAACACAGGCAGGTCTCTAAATTCCTATTTGAGGGAGAAACTCTTTAAGGGTGCAGACCTCTGTCTTGAGATGAAGCTTTCTCTTACACATTACACACTGGGCACTTGCCACTCCCACTTCTTTAGGGATCCTGAGAAGTACAGCTGGACCAGGAAGTCCACTGTTTGCAAAGGTGTTTTTTCTGAATAAAGCAGGCACAGGAGCAGTTCAGAGGAGCTATGAGGCATTTTTTGCAATCCTTGTGTAAGGAGCTGCATAGTACTTTCTTAATTCTTATTTACTGTTCTTGGACACTCCTGTTAAACACCACAATTACTGCTTAATAACACTGCTACTGCTTGCTTGAAGGTGTGAGGCAATTTAACCCCTACTTCCACCTTTTAGAAAAATCTTGATATTGAACTATACAAAAATCAGACCCAAGTCTCCATCAGTCTTATTTTCAGCAGGCACTGGGAAAAACCCTGCAGGCCCCACATGCACTGATGAGTGGGTGACTTCAGTCCCTGGCAACTCCCACACAGCTGGTGCTTCCAGAATATATGATGTTTTACAGCAGATGCGAGTCAAGAGCATTAGTAGAGTTTCAAGGTGCAGAGCTGGCCAGGAAGAACATGCTGATTACTCTGGGTATGACTGCTCTGTTCCTTTATCCTCTGCTCTAGCAAGTCAACTCAGCTTAGTCATGACGGCTCCTTCTAGAATAAATTCACATGAATCCTTTATCAAAGGACAGATTTAACAACTGGGAGATCATCTTTTCTTGTAGAAGCCTTGCTCCTAGTTTTGCACACAATGAAGAATATTACCAGACCTATCCTTTCTGTCTAAGGGGTCATTGGTATTTATTATCACCAACTAACCTGACAAGCTCTTTAAGACAACTGAGATGTTAGCAGTAGTAGATATAAACAGAACAGAAAGTTGCAGGACCTGTCCTTGAGGCAGGATGTTAGCCAGGAATGTTCACTCTGTTTACACTAGAAGGTAACTTCTAGCTGGGATAGGCTCTCTTGTGTCTCAAGTGATTTTGCTTTGATATGTCCAGGCAGGAAGTGTTAGAGATTCAGAACTAGGACCTCCAGGATGCACAAGACTGATTTACCCTTATTTCCAGTTCAAATTTGGAGTGCAACACAGCTACTTGCATATTCCTCTTAAAACATCCATAGATTTTTACCTTTAAAATTTTGAATGCTTTTTGATTTGATTAAAAATTCAAAGAATCTGCATCAGTTTGAACACTGGGACAGAAAAGAGCACAACTTCCTCTGGAGATACTGCCCAGTAAATTCCTGTTCTCTAGGCACAGAAATGAGCACATTCTCTTAATAACACTGCCAAGATAATCAGGTTGCATCAAGAAGCCCTTTCTAACTTCTATTTGGAAAGCTCAACACATCTTTGCACCTTAGCATAGTTAATGCTAAGAGCTGTAGATGAAAACAAGCCTCCTAATCTTTCAAAGATTATTCCATGGACGTTCATGTTCTAGGAAAAGAACAGCTAGATAAAATTCAAGGTCACTTTCTCAAAGTACATCAATTCACATCTCAGTGAGACAAAGTGTAGACACCATTCCTTCTGCAGGCATATCTTCTCCTTCCCATTCAATGCATCTGAAGCCAGCAGCTCCCTGTAGAAAGTCAGGTATTAAGCATCTGTACAGATTAACAATGGTACAAACAGCCAGTTAATGGTGCATGATAGTAACTGGGTTGGTAGCACTGTTATTTTATTAGCTTTGGATAGTTTTGTTTCAAATACCTGCAGTGTTCTGGCACTGAAAGCTCCAGTGTTGTTGCTAGCTCACGCTGCTATTTTCCTGGCTTTAGGTCACTGTATAGCTAGGGCTAAAGCTCTCCTGCAGCCTTAATTCTATCCTTAGCACAGTACATTTGCATGGTGTAACTATACTAGTAAGAACTACTCTGGAGGCCTTTGGTTTGTGGTGTTTTCTAGATGCATAACTCCAACCTCACTATGCTTTCCAAAAGCAACTGACTGAAATCAAGATTAAGCTGCCTTCAAAATCCACTTTGTGATGAGAGAAATACTGCATTCTGTAGATCCCCTTAAAGTGATCTAAAGGAGATTACAACTAGCTTTCAGACTCGCTTTTCCTTTAAAGCACACCTGAGCTAAAAAAGTCCATAGGTGTACCAGGAGCAGCGCTGAGCTCATTTATCCCTTTTACTGTAAGATATTTAAAGCTGTAAATTCCTGATCTTCAAAGAGATTGCTAACATCATCCATATATACTTGATCACACTTCTAATGCTATATCCCCTCCCACCACATTTGCTATCAAGCAAGCATCTAAGCTTATTTACTCATTAGCAAGATTAGTCAGATTCACTGGTGGGAACTGCAAATAACCTCTCTCTGTTCTTATAGCAATCAAGCAGTGAAAACATCAACTATAAGCCATTTTTCCATAAATAACTGTTTCTTTTCTTTTTTGCCTAATACCAGCTTCTACTTAGGACTTCATTTGTGAAGTTTTATTATCCAATTCAGAAGCTGTAAGTAAAGGACAAACAGAAAGGCAATTTAAATTGCAGAAGGCTGCTAGGGGACAAATTCAATGCAAGCCTGGCATTAGTTTCTAAATCAAGTTTTTCATGATTATAGGCATTCTGCCACTAAGTTCACTATTGTTAATGCCCACAGGCGTGTTTCGTGAAAAGAAACACTGCTACCATAGAAGCCAAAGCTACAGGAAGAGACTTCAAAAGGAAATCTAGTATAGCTCACACAAATATACCAAAGTCCTCAAGCAGTTACGTTTAAGGTACAAGTATTACATCTAGCTTCCAAATAGAAGCTAGAAAAGGGCTTTGTGATGCAACCTGATTACATTACATTTTTGAGGGGGGAGGTATACTTTCCATTACAGTATTCACCTAAAAGCAAATTACATGGAGCAGGGCAAAGGAAAATGAGATTAAAACTACTAGAGTGACCTTCAGCTTACAAATTTAAAAAAAAAAAAAAAGAAAACTGCTTGGTTAAAAAGCCTCTATGTCAAGACCTTTAAGAGACAAGGTAACAACAGCTTGCACTACATGCTACTAATTGTGAAAAATGTTTTTTCCTGTATGCACCAGTTAAATTACTTTTGAGGAATGCTGCACACTTATCACAAGAGCATCCTTACTGCCAGTGGAAGATAAGGGAAAAACCTTCTGGGTAAATCAGAGCTGTAATTCTACCATTGGCACACAAGGGCATACAGCACCCACATTACCCAGCCACAGAAAGTTAGGCCTTTACAGTCAGGGAGCACTCAAGTGCTCAGGCTTCACCACTTCCAAAAAAAAGTGGGATTGCTGTTATTCTTAATTAAGTCCAGTTAATGCCACCTCCTTCTGATAAAGCCAAGTTACCTTGCAGAACCTGGGGCTTGGCCAGAGGCTGTTTTAGAAGCAGGGAGCTATTTAGTAGAAGCCTTCGATGCAAATGTCCTCCTCCCAACCCTTATGATGAGGAATAAAAGAGCAGGGAAAGCAGCTAAAAAAGGCCTTTCATGGCTAATTAGTTATGGACAGTCTTCCAACAACTTAAAATTCAAGCAACTGTTACAAACACTAGAATGAAAAGTGATACCTAACAGCCTTAACTGGAACAGCAGGTAAGTTTCCACATAAGGTGCAACAGTACCTTACATTTAATCAAGAATCACTTTTAAAGCTTTACACCATGCTAAACAACAGAGAAGTTAATATTTTACAGAAGACAGTAAGATGAAGAGAGGCGAGAGCAGCTGTCTAGGAAGTTTCCGAGACACGAGGACACAATTCCAGGAGCAGGCAGACCTTCTCAGTAGCACAGTGAGTGGAGTATGTTTACGCTGTAACTGCCCTGGCAAGAGCCAGCCAGTTTAGGCAGAACTAGAAGCAGGTTTCTAGTGTTGAGACCATGTTTGCTTCAGAGGCGACTGCATGACAGGCAAAGTGCCTGTCACACTTTAGATTTACATTTGTCAGTGTCACATCTGCATGGAGCTCTAATAAGAGGTCTGTCCTGATAAGATAACTGAACGTCAGAAGTGACCCTCTTATCAGAAACAACATGCTGTGTATATCCTGTGGCATAGCTTCATTCTTGATACATTAGAAGAATTGCTGGGACAGCAACATTAAGTTCAATGATAAAAAAACTCCTGTTTACACAGTGAAAGTAGTTCTCCAAATGTGTGGTTTGGTTGGATATTTTTTTTTTTATAAAATGGCTTTCCCTAATGGCAACTAGACAGTGCCCATACCTTCCTGATATTCAAGCAGTTTTTATATTCAGCTCCAATCTTCAGACCACAAGCTCTGCAGAAGGCTGTCACATACCTTGCACCAAGCAGCTCAGGTTAGGAGTCGTCTACTCGGAGTTTCAGAATCGGCTCACCGGAAAAACGAAGGTCAGACTGGTTTGGGATCTTGCCTGGCAAGTCTTCCTCCTCACTCCTCCCCTGCGGAGAGGGATCACACTTGGTCTCAAGATGCTCCCGAGCCCCTTTTGGCTCTTGGCTCTCCATGGTCACACAATGATGTCTAACCCTCAGCCCCCGGTACGGGCGGGCAGAGAAAGAGGATCCCATACCGTTCCTCCCTTACCGAGGCAAGAGAGGCTTACCGACTTGTTCCGAGCTCTTCGGGTCTCATTCAAGAGCCACATCTTACCGACAGATACCCGCACCTGCCTGCGGTGACAGGAAGAGGAAGGGCGCGGGACAGCCCGGTAACGGCCCGCTGCTCAGAGGAAGGATGGGGGGTTCCTTTCGAGCAACTCGCCCCACTCGTCAGCTCCGGGGCTGTCAGCGCCGCCGAGCTCCGTGCACGGTGCGGGGGAGCCCGGAACGACCGCGGT